CAAAAGAGAGTGTGTATACTGCCATACTGTGGTGAGCTACCATTGTTAACGAGGCATCAGGGAATGCCCTTTATCTTAGAGGTCAGTGGGAGAGACTGCTCTCCTTATGCAAGTATTAGGCAGAGGAGAAACAGTGTAACTTTAATCTGAAAATGTCTCTCTGTATGTTGAATTAAGTATACTGAAAACTGTAAGACAAGTTCTCCCCAGAAAGAACTTGGCTTCTTAGACAAGTGCATTCTTACAGAGCTCTGTGATAAGCCTTCCCAGGACACACATGTGTATGCATACATACATATATAGAAACGTTTACAGAGTTCCATGTATCCAGGGCTGGCCCTAAGCTCCCTATGTGGCCCAGGATAAGCTTGCATTTCTCGCCCTCCTGCCCTATCCTCCATGAGTGCGGGATTACCATCATGTGCCACCATGCCCGGTTTGCTGTGAGGTCGTATTAATAGCCTGAGTTTTGGGATTACCGTCACGTGCCACCATGCCCGGTTTGCTGTGAGGTCGTATTAATAGCCTGAGTGGGTTTGCAGAAAGTATGTGAGGAAGCTCAAGTCCAGGTCTGATCTGGAAGATTTGCTAATTTGCTTGTTTTTGGTTGGTTAATGAAATAATTATTGTGGATTGTTAATTTCTGATCATCATTGGGAGAAATATTTTGTCTTATTGATCAGGTTCATCAGGCAAAATTAATGTAGTTTTTTTTCACATAGGTGTTTGAATTATTCTGGAATTCTCTGCTTTTATTTAGATTTAATTTTACATTTAAATTTCTGGCCATGGTGTGCTATTTATGTAGGGCAATGATAATATTCAAAACTGTTGCTACTGCTTTCAAGGATTTCAATTAAAAATTCACTAGGCAGAACCAAAAAAAAACAACATTTATTGAGCTCTTATTGTGATGAATAAACTGTGCCATATGTTAGGAGAGAGGAAGGTAGCAGAGACTGATCATCGTTTCTGTCCTCAAGCCTGTGTATGTGTGTGTGAGGGGGTACATGTACATGTAGGTGGATGCATGTGTACATGTACATGTGAATGAATGCACATAGAAGCCAGAGATGTGTGTGTGAGGGGGTACATGTACATGTAGGTGGATGCATGTGTACATGTACATGTGAATGAATGCACGTAGAAGCCAGAGATGTCCGCTGTTTCCTTGGTCACACCCCACCTTACGTTTTCTCAGTGAATCTGGAGTTTCCCGGTAGGGTAGACTAGTTGGCCAGTGGGCTCCAGGGCTGCTGCTGTCTCTGCTTCCCCAGTGCCGGAATTACAGATGGGTACCACTGCACCCAGCTTTTTAGGTGGGTGCTGGGGGATCCCAACTCAGGTGCCATGCTTGCATCAGGGAAGTTCCTGACTGAGCCCATCTTCCCAGCTGCCAGACTGTGCCTTTGTGAATCCATAACAAATGCCCATAATTTAGAAAAGAACTTTTAAAAAGCCAATAGGACCTTGTTTTGTTTTATTCTCTGCTGCATTTCTAGAGGTGGAGAGAATATGGGCTGTATTTCTATAGGCACATGGTAGATCCTTTAGACACACTCGTTGAATAAATGGCCAAATAGCCGATGATCATGTGCTATGTACACAGAGTTACTGGAATCCAGTAGCAGTTCATCCATCCAGCTGAGCAAGGCAAGGAACAGTTCATGGAGTAAGTAAAATTTCGGTTGGAAGGGAAAGGGTAGGGTCACCTAGTGATAGGGATTGAGCTGGAAGGGTATGTAAGCTTGTTTCTCTGGTAAGTGGAGATTTTATCTTATTTTTTCATTAACAAATAAATAGGCTTTTTGAGACAAACTCTCCCTGTATAGCCCTGTCTGTCTGGCCTGGAGCTTGATCTGTAGATCAGGCTGGCCTCAAATCCACCAAGATCCTCCTGGCTCTGCCTCCTAAGCATCGTGATTAAAAATACACACCACCACCCCTCAGTCTGAAAGGGACGTCTTAGAAAAGTTACTCTAGAGGCCTTTTGTGAGGTGCCTTGTGGGCAGGAGAAATCGTGACGCTTATGTTGACAGTGTCCTGCAATTAGGTGTGCTGATGGAGGGCACGGAAGTGGCCGAGCTGATCGGGTTTTCCGTTTGAGTGGCTTGGGTAAGAGTAAAAGCGTGAGCAAAGACAGGACAGCCAGAGGGGAAATGAACATTTTGTGGGGAGGCTTCTATACTTCAAACCTCTTCCTCGGAAAGCTGTTGCGGCAGGGTCTTCCTCTGTAACGCAGGCTACCCTTGAACTTCATCCTGAGTATGGGAATACAAGTCTATACCACAAACCCAGGGGATTTAAAATGATCTTAACGTTTAAAGCCACGGAGACCCTTCACTGACAGAAATAACAAGGTCCATAATATTAGGCCTGAGAGGGATTTTTGGAGAATGAGTTATTAATGAAATCCAGTCTTGTTCTCTTACCAGTGAGAAAGCTGACTAGAGTTCTGGAACTGTCCACAAACATCCAATCACTGTCCTGGGTGTAGAGCCCAGTGAGAGGTTTAGACAGTCATTTACAGTGCCTTGAAAGGGACTTAAATAGCTCCTCTGCATTTGCATCTGATTTCCTGTTTTAAATTTGAAGAGCCACTATACAGATAGTTGCATGCAATGCATATGGAAATATCATTGTGTATTTATTGTGTATTATTGTGTATTTAGGGTAAATATTGTGCTATAAAATTGAAGGCAAATAATTTAAATATTAGGCACCATTTCCATGCATTCTTACTAGTAAAAATCTGAACTTTTGCCTAAAGTTATGTGAGTAATGAATTTTTTTCTTCTTTTCCCACTATGATGTACCTGGTTAGTAGATTCTCTGTAATTATCACCAAGCCAAAGCTTACTCAATTCTGAACACGGTTTGCACTGCACATGTCCTGAGACTTCTGATCTTTGGTGCCATATTGCCACATATGAGGGGGCAGCAGTTTCGAAGGCATCTCTCTCATTTGGTCTTCACCCATCCTTGCTTTCATTTGCCACGTCTGTGTTGGGGTGGCTGTCAGCAGAACTGGTCCTGCCTGTGTGGTTGGTGTAGACAAGTAACAGGGCTCGGAAGGCAGTTTGGGACCAGGGATTACCTTTGACACATCTTCTTTTGTTCTCCACGCCCTGTTATAGATGAGGATAGAAAATAGTCTCTGTCTTCCTGCTTACGCTCACCGTATCCTCCTGGCCCAGACCCGAACATGCCAGGGTAGCGCTGGCTTTGTCTTCATGAGTCTTTGGGTGATGGCCCCACACTGAGCTCGTCTGACTGTGGGCAATGTGAGGACTTCTTCAACATGATCCAGATCCACCTCCCTTCCCCCACCTTCTTTCCAACCTCCATCAATGCAGGGAGGGACTTAGTGAAGAGAGGATTTGGAGAGTGGCAGGGTGATGAACATGAGAATATGGGAGAAGTAGCTCTTTTACAAGACCGGGAAGTGAGTACTTTACCTACACCTGGAGCATCACTAGCAGGATAGCAGAATGATCAGAAGACAGTGGCAGCTAGGAAGTTACCATAACGACCGTAACTCTTCTTGGGAGAATTTCCAGTCTCTTGAGTTACAGTGATAGCAGTGAGATTTTAAACATAGAATGCTGGTCTTGCAGTCCTATTTTAAACCACGGCTACTGGCACTGGTTACCTCATTTGCCTTGGGGCGAGCGCTGGGAGTTTATCGACAGCCAGTCTCTGTGCCAAGCATTTAAAAATGAATGATCCCAAGTCATGGGATGACAGAGGAATCTTGGCTCCCTGATAATTAGCATTGGAGAGGGAGCAGCAGATCCAGAACTCCTTAGTGAATTCATGTGCCTGAGACCTCAGGTGGTGGGCGAAACCAGCTCAACAGGAGTCCTTAGCCTTGGGCGAGAGAGGAGCACAAAAGCCCTGTAGAAATGGGAAGGCCACAGCACTCCCAGCAAGGACATGTCTAATGGACTGTCTGGAGCAATAGACAGGCTCCTGCTTGGACAAATGTCATAGGAAAAGGCAACCCACTCCTGTTGGATTTATAGATCCCATTTGCCAGAGTGAAGGACACTTGCTCTTTTGACTAGCTGAACTAGCTGGGCCCTGGTGGCCTCGTTGCTATGGCAATATGAGCTCAGTGACCTCTCTTCTCTTGTGGAATGTAGGTGAGAAGGACCGAGGGGAGCCTGAGGATGCCGAACTGGTCAGGCTCAGTAAGAGACTGGTGGAGAGCGCCGTGCTCAAGGCTGTCCAGCAGTATTTGGAAGAAACGCAGAACAAAAAGCAGCTGGGGGAGGGGAACTCCGCCAAAGCTGAAGAGGCCAATCAGAATGGCAAAGGCAGTGATAACAACAGGAAGTGAGAGTGGGACCCGTTCCCGCTGCTGAAAAGCACCCCTGCCCCTCCGCTAAGTCGCAGACTGACTTGCAATGTGCCCTTTAAGTGTCTTGTTCAAGCCCCGGAGATCGCCTAACACGTCTAATGATCGATGGCGTTGGTGTGGCTGCGACACAGCAGAAGAGAATGGGGTGCTGGGGCCAGCAGAAGAAATTAATTCACAGAAGAACAAATCCCAAGCTCATGTCCCATCGAGCATGCCCGAGGGAGAGGGGGCACTTCCGGAAGGCCTGCCAGGCCGAGGGAGAGGACTCGCCACCGCTGGAATACTGCCGTTTACATTGCTTAGAGCATTTGGCTACTTTATGGGAGGCCAAACCTTGCACACAGCTATCAAGTACTGAACTCTGTTTGTCACTGTTGAAATGATCCCGAGTGTAGTGAGTCCGCAATGTTTCGTGTTTGTCCCCAGTGTGCTGTTTACCATGCGGTGATCTTTATTTACAGTAAATTAAGTTTCACGTAAATTATATATTTTTGGCAAAATGCAGTCTTTTCTATGGAATGTGGGTAACATTTTAAAGATTTTTTTCAGCCTTATTTTGATAAGTCAGTGTGCCATATTTAATGTATTTCATTGATACTTGTACTTTAAATGTATTATATAATTTTTTTTCCCTTAGGCAAGAAACCAGTTGGGAGTCAAGACTTAATTAATGAAGCGTTGCACCGAGAAAGGATGGAGCTGAAGGCCAAAGTGAAACAGATAAAGGAACTTTTGCTAAAGCCTGAGACTCAGGCCATGATTAGGAAGGAGCTTTTTGAAGGAAGAGTTCTTAGCGACGATGATCACATAGGGATGCTGATTCCCGCGTGACTTGGCTGTAGCTCTCCACTGCTGTGAGGACGGTGTAGAGTTTACAAACTCTCAGCCCCGGTCCACAGCCCTTTGGTAAATAACCAGAGTGTTCTTACCGTTTCTACAAAGCCCACGAACCAACACTTGGTGAGGAACTAACAACTTCTTGCCAAAGAAAACATATTTTTGCCTTATCATCATCATCATCATCGGCTAAAGTTGAGTTTTAGAATGTTTATTTGGGTGTTGTTGACTCATTTTATAGAAATAACTTCTTAATTAGCTGTTGTGAGATGTTCCATGGGTCCTTGCAGATAAAAAAACAGAACGTTGACTATGAAAAATCCTTTGTAGACAAAAACAACAGAACTAAGTAAAACCAACAACAGTATTCTAAGGGTCGCCTGCCTCCTGTTGATAAGGCCCTTTTTACTTCAAAAGACAATGTCCGGGCTTGTCCAGTCTCACATTACTTTTGATGAGATTTTGAATGCTTATTGAGTATCAGTACTTGAATGAACATTTGTAAATGTAATCATTGCAGTCACTGGTTAAGAATGTTTTATAATATCCACGTATATTATTTTTCATTGATGAAAATGCAGTTGGCTTTTTCATTTCTTAGTGAACAAATGTCCAGTGTTTTTTATTTCCTACTTCTCCGAAGACGAGCCCCAAGCCTCCCTGTGTTCTTCACAATTTGAATAGTTTGTACTAGTTCATTTTTTAAAAGATCATTCTTAAAATGTTTCTCCCCATGTGATGTTTATTTGTAACAGCTTTTTTCAATAGTAATTTTAAAATTGCTGCTACTAATAGATGGTGGGGGAAGGAAATGATTAGAGATCAGATATGTATAATCATCTCACTTATACGATCCAGTTTGCTCGTGGATTTTGCCTATTTTTTTCACTGGATAAATGATACAACATTAATTCATAATGTAATGATGTAGGGGTTCCTACATTTTCATGCCTCTTAATAAACGTACTGTTTCCCTGTTGCCTTTCCTTATCGTTCTTCTGGAAACCACTGGGTCCTTGTTGGTATCCCAAAGTCAAGAGCAGGGTCTCTGCAGTTTCATTGTTTCCTGTCTTTGTGCTAAGGAAGCCCACTGTCAACTTTAGACTGCTTCCTGATTTCAAATCATCAACTTCGTACACAAGGAGCAGCAGAACAGAAACTTCAAAGACAACCTGAGTGATGTCTTCAAAATAACTGATCACGGGTCACTAGAATCTTCCTCACAATGATGAAGAGGGCAAGTTCATCTAGATATACAGATCCGCTAGTTACTAGCTGTGAACTCCCTCCAAGAAGCCAGCCATGAACTTCCAGTGAGAGGGGCTGGCCATGACCCCCCAGTGGCTGGTTATGACCCCCCATCAGTGGGCCATGAACCCCCTCCCCCAGCGACTGGTTGTGAACTACCCCCTGCAGTTGGCCATGAACCCCTTCTGAGGGGCTGACCATGCATCCCCTCTTTGTGGCTAGCCACAACTCCCTTGTAGGCTGCCTACTGGGAACCCTCACTTAGCTATGAAGGTCATTACAGATTTCCTTGAGTAACCCCAAAGGAAGGAAGCAAAAATGCTTAGGCCTTTCCTTGTTTTTCTAATGAGGACACAGCGTCCAGAGGTTGGGCTCCCTAGCCAAAGCCACAAGGATGTTAGGAATTTGGACCTGAGCCACAACCCGGTGGCCCCAGTGTACCATAGCTATTTTGGTGAAATCTGGTAATCCACATGAACAATTTCAGATTGATATTTATTAGTATTGTCTATATCTTCTCCTCAAGGAGTTATTCCTGATCTGAGTAGCTTGAAAGGAAAGTATTGTTTTCAACCCCAATTCCATGTCTTTCTTTTAACTTTAGTTGCCTATTTCCATTGTTAAATACCCATGGAGGCCAGGGCCATGTGCCAGGTGATTTGGGCGTATGCTTAAATTTCTTCCCTTAAGTGGTCCTAGTAGGAAGTAATTAGTACTTTCTAGACTAGGAAAACTGGAGACCTATATGCTGAAATGGTCCAAGGATGTAAAGTGAACAAAAGATAGGACTATATTTAAACTCAAATCTGTTTTACTTCAAAGGTGACACTTTCTACAATGGGATATTTCCTCCCTTTACCAAATAAAATATTTCAGAAATTAAAGATGAGTAATAAAGTCCCTGAAACACACACACACACACACACACACACACACACACACACACACACACACACACACCTG